CAGGAACAACAGAACTCTATCCAGAAGAGCACACTATTAGAAACAGATACTGCGCAGAGTCCTCAATCTCCTAGGTCTGTGGCAGAGGACCCAAGTATAATCATGATCACTCACAGGGGATGAGAAAAAAGTTTTCTTGTTGTATATATATATATTTATATTATTTATATATATATATTTATATATATTTAAAATATATATATATTTTTTTTTGTGATATTCATTATACATTGTTGGCGTAAAGTTCGTTACAATAGAAATTTAAGGTAGTGTCTTTCTTAGCTAAGCAGAGGAGTGTGAATGAAATGTCACCAGTTGAAAACGCATTGGCTGGCTCATTAGCTTCAGTTTTTGCTGCATTTGTGTTATGTCCCACCGAATTAATTAAATGCAAGCTTCAAGCTCAGCGTGAAGTCAACCCGGATGTTCATAGGTCTTTTTCTTCGCTTCATCATTTGCTATTATTCTTATTATCATTTAAATTATTTATATTTATTATGTATAGTTATTATATATTTTTTTTTCTTCTTTATGATATATATATATATATTAATATGGGCGATAAGTTGATTACTTTTTATGCAAGGCATATTTTCAGATAATTTTTTCTCATAATTTAGACCAATATTTTTTATTATCAAAGCTATATTTTGCGTTGCGAAGAGTAAATGAGTAAATGATGAAATAATAAATTTTCCTAGTTAAATTGACAAATTTTTAGTTCTTCTTTCTCTGTTTTTCGTGATTTATATCGCGACCGTGGCTTTTGCGCTTTTTTTGTTGGTCTTGGTCCCACGTTAATGCGAGAAATGCCCGGATACTTTTTTTTTTTTGGCGCTTATGAAATTTCGAGATATTACTTCACATCTCCTGGTATGAAGAAGGATGACATTGGTACTTTTTTGTTTTATTTTTTGAAAACTTTAACTTCTTTGTAGTTTCTTAAATTCTTTATTCTTTATGAAATTTATTGAATTTCATTTTAGCCATTTTTTATTAATGGTCATGGCTTTTGAATCTATAAATTGCTACATATTTCACTATTTATATTATTTAAATGATTAGTTTTATTTAGTTTTTAAATTTATTTAGGATTACTACGAACAGCGGTTTCCGGCGCTATCGGCGGAATGGCTCTTTGGACTTCAATATTTCCTGCAGATGTCATAAAATCACGAATGCAAGTTTCGGGTGGGGGTAATTTTCAATCGACCTTCATGGATATTATTAAAAATAATGGTAAGATTCACTAAATATATTTTTTGTCGCAATTATTTTTTGAAAAAAACAAGAATAACGGAACTCTTTTACTGAAATGTCTGATCTTGACATTACATTCGATAAAAATTTATTTTTAAAATATTTAAAATTTTTTAAAGCCTTATTTTAGGTTTTAGAGGTCTTTATAAAGGATTAGCAGCGACATTATTGCGAACATGTTTAGCGAGTGGCTGCTTATTCATTGCCTATGAGGAATCAAAAAAACTGCTGAGGGATTTATTCTAATTTTTAAATATTAAAAATAAAGAAACTCTTTTATTGAAATATTAGCTTTGCATTCGATAAAAATTTATTTTTAAAATATTTAAATCTTTTCTATATTTTTTTGAACAATTTAAATTAAAAATAAAAACGATGTTCCGCATCGACTATTTAAAATTGTCCTTTTTTTTGACTGGTGGGAACAGTTTCGTTCCATTTATGAAAGAACTGGAAGGCAGCTTCAACTTCCATCGATTAGTTTTATGTACCATTAATAGACCCCCTAAGGATTTGCAAATACTAATTGGTGATTTGCGATTTTTCTGAAATTGAATTTTGAAATACATTCATTCGCAGTTTTATTTCATTCGGAAGTTATCCGCTGCGAATGTAGTTATACAGTTGGCTCGAAACATGGTGAAATTTGATAGATTTTTATCTAGTTTACTGAAAAATCTTTAAGAAAGCTTGTTAAATATGAAGGAAAAATTCTGAAATATGGCACTGTTATTATTATTAATAATAATATTGTTATTAATTTATTAATTATTAATTGATTTTATTAATTAATAATTATTGGGATTATTAAATTTTTGTTCCGAATTATGTTTGCATTGCCGTATTTTCTTAATATACTTTATTTTCGCATAGATGACAAAAAGTAACTCGAGATATATAGTTTGAAATATCTCTCTTCTCACCTCATGTTCAAAATTGAAAGTAGTGTTTAACGGCATTGGCAGTTTTATTTGTTCACAGAAAAAATTGAAAAACTTGATTTCTGAACGTTATGCACAATATTTAAAATTTTTATTGAGCTTGTTTCCGAGCTGTTGCTCTGAATTTTTGGAAACAAAAAGCCAATATCTTAGACAAAAATAATCACGTAAAAAGAAATTGGCTTTAATAGACTTTCCTGGAATTAATAATTTTTATGTTAAATATCGCTATGAAATACGTGAATAAATGATATTTTTATAGAAAAAAACCAAACGGAACAAAATGTAATGAACGATCCAGCGATTTAAGTGCTAGGCAGCCACTTTTTGTCCAAAATTCAGTCGAACTCCATCGATTATCAAATTTGTCTTAGTTTTTTCTGATAATCTTTTATATAACTGTTGGGTTCTCACCGTGGGATTCATTCTTAAGTCCCTGAAAATTCAGATATGTTAATCGTAAGTTGGAATGTGGATAGGCAGTCTTATATTTCTAATTCTTATTCAATGATTTTATGCTGTAGGCAGCAGTTTAAATGCTAATGAAATAGTCAGTCTACAACGTGATGAAATGAACGATTAAATTAAAGCAGCTTTTGTAAAAACGGATAAAAATATCAATAAGTAAAGAGTATCAACAAAGGGAAAGAGCTGAAATTTACTATTCACGTAGTAAAGAATTGCTCGCAAAAGGCAAAGCCTTTTAAAGGATTAATAAAATTCTTAACGAAGCGGCTGAATGTAATGCGTTTTAAACTCACAGTTATTTCGAAAGTTTATAAAAATTTTTCATATCAATCGGCGGACAATTTGTTTTAGGCCAAGCAGTTCAATTCTGATCTTTTTAGGAGGTAAAGTTCATTAGAAGAAATGAAACTAGAATGATATGAATACGAGTTGATCAATAATGTGGTGAAGTATATTTACATAATTATAATAACGTTAGGAAGAAAGAATATGAGAAGAGAAATTCCAGGGCCTGAAAGAGGAACTGAAGAAAATGTGGAAAGTGAAGGCCAAAGTAATTCCAGTGAAATGATCTCCAAACTAGAAAACTTCAGCGCACTTTCCAAGAACAAAACATTAGAGATCTACATCCAGAATAACGCACTACTAGCCAAAATACGCAGAACCTTCAATCTCCCAGGCCTCCGGTGGAGAAATTGAAATGATCAATGGCACCCAAAGGAAGTAAGGAAGAGACTTTTATATATATTTTATATATAAATACATTTTATAAATATTTCTATATTATTTATATTTTTTATAGCTATATTTTATAACTACATTTTTATAACTAAATTATATTATAATTCTCAGTCGGATCGATCTTCTAACAAGCAATGCCAGCTTAATGATGCGAGGTGCCAGAAAGAGGCCGATAAGGTTGGAGGATATTAAAATATTGGAGATTATCTTTGATCACTGCTGAGCGGATAAAATCTCTCATGATCGCATCCATCTTCGCTTAAATACCAGTTGCATTAACAAAACCTCGGCCTCGCCGGTTGTGGCTCGTTCTTCATCGCCCATCACAGAAGTTGACTTGTTTCTTTACTTGCTAGATCCTACAATGGATGGCAGCAAAAGTAAAGAGGACCAATGGAGACCTGGACTAAAACAATCAGGAAAGATTTTGAACATATAGGTGGATCAGCAATATATGGACTTAGACGATGGAAAAAGGAATGGATTCTATTATTGTCGACGATGGAATCAGATCGCGCAGCTTGGAAACATCTTACTCCTGTAGGCAGCAAAAATTTGCTTCGCTTCCGTTCATGTAAGATTTTTTTTCATTCAAAATTCTCCATCCAAAAATTTTAGTTCTTATTGTTTAAGTTTTTCTAACGATTCATTTTTATTCAAGTCAAGTCAACTGTAAGCAATCAGGAAGATGAGAATATTACTAATATTCAAAACAGAGTAAAAAAATGAACAGAGTAAAACAGAGTAAACAGACGCTAAGAGTAAAAAATTATTATAAGAATAAAATAAATGAAAAAAGTGGCAATTTGAAAAAGAAAATCATTTGAAATCGTGCGATACTTAACGAAGAGAAAATATTTTGAGAAGTTCCAATCAAGAAATTTCAACTTATAGAGGAAAACCGAAGAATCAACATGCGATTATAGTAAATGTCTTAGTAACCAATTATTACCTTAAGGATTAAAGCTTAAAATTTTAAAAAATCTTCATGTAAAACCGAAATCTCATTTTGATCATTATTTTCATTGTAAATATTTTAACGTCTTAATTATCATTTTTATCATCATTATTATTATTATCACTTTTAACACCTATTTGGAGAGCAATGGTCGAGTTATGATTCGTCTTTCCATTCGCGTCGAGCACAAGTTCAATTCCCTTTCCTAACGTGAACAAATTTGTTAATAAAAAATCCAGTGATGCTGGCTATCCATCTGTAGCCTCTGGCCAAGTGATCCCTTGCAAATATTTCTAACCACACTGACGGCCAGTCAACCAGAAATTATGGATTACCACCGGTTTAGTTGTTTAATTATTATCGCAAAATTATTAACGAACAAAAAGTTGGAGTAAAAGTTAATTTCGCTGAAAAAATAAAATCCTTTTTTTTTCAAAAAGATCACTCACCGCTTGTTGATTTCGATGGTTGAGAACTGATTGTGACGGCGATGCAAATGGTATTGCAGATCTTTCAACGGTAGTTACTGGAGCTTTAGGTCTACCGTATTGATCATAAGAAATGCGTATTTCAGAATTGATTTGATAAGTTTGCGGTTGAATACGACCATCTGGACCAATTGTCGCCTTAGTTGGTGGAATAATTATATGCTGAGGTATTGCGATTCCACGTGGCTTTTTCGAACACCAATTCTCCTCTTTTTCATGATATGGAGATGATGACTGAGCTGAGCTAAAGAAAGATGACTGGTGGATAATCGATTTTAGTATTTTAGAGAGATCTCGCATATATATTTATATAATTCTTAAAAACCACATCCTAGCAGACAATATTCGAACCAGAATTTAGTTTCTAATTACTGAGAAAATATTTTTTCATCAAAAACATTCACATCTAAGGAATGAATGTCTTCTATTATCCAAAATTGATAGGTAATACGGAGATTCATGTCGCCAACCTTTTAGATTCATATCCTTTTTGATCGCGTTTCTTTTTTTCATCTTTTTCAGTGCGATGGTGATATCGCCTTCGTTCTTTAGAGTTTTGCTCATTTGAATTACATTGTCTAACAGATCGTTCCCGATTAGGAGTTCGATGCCCATGAGGTCGAAGAGGAAAATCTGAATTTGACTGAATCGACTTAAATATAGCTAAATATAGCTAGCCACATAAAAAAGGATTAAAAAAATCAATTTTTCATACCTGTAAAAGTAACAGTATCAGATGTTACTGACGCTGGCGACTCAAGACAGGCTGAGCAATGCCTCCTTCTAGAGCATCTTCGCCGTGAATGTCCCCTTCGTTTATGTTTGTCTTGTCGATTTTGAGAGAGTAACCTACAAAAAGCTATGGGATTTTGTGGAAAATTTTTAGAAAAAATTTGCTTGCAAATAATAAATCTATCTATAAAAGTCATACAAATATACAAATGAACTTATCATTGGGTTTAATTGAACGGTTGCAGTAAAATGCAGCAAAGCTATTAAAAGCTATATAGCGAAAAAGAAATTTCTGAACCAATAAACATAGAATAAATACAGTGATAAAAATAAAAGATAAATAATCAGCGATTTTCGATGTTAAGAATACTTATGCCGCAACCTTTCACGGTAATGATTACAGTGGTGATGATGATGTCGCTTATGGCGCTGAGATAGAGCCATTCTGCTAGTATTGTCATACATAGATGGAACTGATAGTGAATGCTAAAAAATAATTATTTCTTAAATTAAATTTTGATATAAGGATAATAAATTATTGCATATGCGAATAAAAATTGTTATCACGTATTAGAAGATTGCAATAAATATGCACTTGTATTGGTGGAAATTCCTCCTGCTTAATTACCGAAACTGGTTCACTATTTGCATGTTCTGGCACTACTGAAAATTATTTTCCATTTATGATTTGAGTTTAAAAAATGAATTTTCTGACGAATAACAACATTTCTTTGGCAATATAGAGGTTAATGAAAATGGCAATCTGTACAGAACCGACTAATAAAATCTACAAATTTGTTTCATTCTTAATAAAAATAATCTTTTCCTAATATCACACAATATTATTTCTAGTTTGGCTGGATCCACTGACCACATTGTTAAAAAATTCAAAATATTCGAAGTAAAATATTGAAATAATGTTAATAATAGATAAATAAACACATAAATATAGAAAATAAAAAATAAATAAATATTAATGTTGGGGGATAATTTCATAAACAAGAATTTTGAGCTGAACTCGTTTCTTAAAAATCGGTATAAATCTATATAATAAATGTGGATAAATTTATATAATAAAGAAAAAAATTGCGCGAGAGAAAGTCACCGATCTGTTGTTCCATCACCCAGTTCGAAACTCTGTCCTGGCTTATTTTATCGAATGAGGCTTGTCGTTGAGGAGACTTAGCACACGGTTCATACACAAATTCAGGTAATCGACTATACTTATCTCGAAGAAAAGTCGGAGAATGTCCTTGTTTATAACCTTCAGGTGGTGCAGTTTTTAAATGAGATTCTGAAAAAAACTTTTTTTCCACCTTTGCACCAATCAGAATGCGCTAATCTTATGAACGTTATCCAAATCGAAGACATAAATCGACGGCACATCACTGGCAAATATTAATTTGAATGATTTATAAATTAAGCAATGGAATTAAACACTTTAAAGTAAATTCATTCAGGAAAAATGATTTAAACCTTTCTTCTCTCTCCTTTCGAAACCTTTCGAATATGCATCTTCAAAGGGATAATTCCTTTGATCATTGCAATATTTGTCAAAACGATTGTCATCGTCGAAGTAAATTGGCTGCTGCTTTTCTTCATAAAATTCAATCTCAATAGTCATATGGCGATAAAAAATAATAATTACAAAAAGGCAGTATATCTGTAAAATGACTGCAATTAGGAAGTTTAAAAAAGCGAGTGGTTAGCTATTTTTAATGAGCTCTTGCGATAGAAGCAGATGAGTTGGCTGCATACGGATGCAGGAGGCAGAATCCGTTCTCTCAGTAATCTAAGCTACTATCCAGTTAGTTACTAAGTTTTCTAAGATGAAAATTGGTAAATTAATAAGAAAAGAAACAATAAACGAATGGCATAAATAAGGGGGATAAATAATATATATACGAACTAACATTAATAAATATTGTAATCATTTCAAGTATTGTAAGTACAAGCCAATAATCTCGCACGTCACCTGTCCACCACATTATACAATAAGCAAGAGAAGATAATATACTTGCAAGCATACATGGGATCCATGGCCAAACTAAACACCGAGAAAACTAAAACACCATTAAGCTAGAAAATGATTCCATTGATGCATAATTGACAAATTCAAACAAGAAAGAAAGAGAAAAAAAGAGTTTATTTAAAATCAAACCACTTTATTTAACGTTTTAAACTAAGGATGAAGCAGATTTTATTCTTTTTTTATTCAGTGGCTTCCCAAAATGAACACACAATATATAATAGATAATACGATTAGAATTACATTTAATATTGCCGGTATTTTTGAAAAAAATTGTTTAGAGACTGTATATTGCCAATTAAAATATTCATACTCACTGATATTTTATAGGACTTAAAATGTGGAGACCCTGTAAAACCGCAAAAATAATCATTCAGACTAAATAATAAACTAGCACCATCACAAAAATTACCGTATGTGCTCCATATATCAGTGCAACTGAAGCAAAAAGAAGAAAAAAAGATGCTATGAGACATAAAATTTGTATGACGAAGAGGCCTGAAAAATTAAATTACAAAATTCCATCTTGAACTAAGTCAGAAACAAAGGAATTCATCAATGTCTCGCTTGGTCCAAAACTAAAAAATAACCAATTTAGAATTAGAAGAATAAAAGAATAGAAGAATTAAGATTCATTCATTTTAAAACAAAAACAAAATATTTAAAATTAAGTCATCTTCTATGCATTCAAATTGCTACGAAACTTCTAATAGCTATCACCATTGCTGGTTAGAATGGCTCCAGCGGCTAGAAGGGTGCTTCCAAGCGGCACTGTTTGATGCCATCGTAACAGCAATAGAAGCCATTCCTTTTTCCATCATTTAAGTCCATATGTTGCTGGTCCAGCTATTATGTTCAAAATCTTTTCTGACCTTATCAGTCCAGATCTTGATTGGCCCACCCCGCTTTTAATGCCGCCCATCACATGATTCAGCAAGTAACGAAATATGCGTCAACTCGTGTGGTGGACGACGGAGAACGTGCCCTAACAAGCGAAGGTGACGTATGATATTTTATTATTATGTTACCATGTGATACTTCATCCGCTCGAGGGACCCGTAAAATGCACCTTAGGCAAGAGTGGTCAAAGGCAGATAACTTTTTAATATCCTCCACTCTCATTAGCCATGTATCAGAGTCACATATTAAGATCGAACGAATCACGGCTATATAGATGCGAGCTTTCGTTTTTATGGTAATTGCTCCGAATACACCGGAAATAATCTTTGCAAGTAAGCAAGTGGTCGTTACTTCTGAGAAAGCTACCTCTACTAATTCTGTAAAAATTTTTATCAGAAATTCACTTGGCAGGAAGGGTACATTTGGATCGCCAGCAGCACCAGGACTTTTAAATTATTTATAGGTTTATTCGTGTCAGTGGCAGGACACGTACTCACGCCTCGGTATAAAAATCTTAATGACCATCCACTCTTATTCGCCCGGCTTTTCAAATTTACAAATTCAATTTTCAAATCACTTAAGTGAAAATTAAATTAACCAAAATGGTAAATCACATCACATATATATTTTAATCCTCATTTATTTTTTAAAAATATCTATTCTTCGAAAGATGATTATTGTTTTTCTGAATTTTACCACTTAATTATTACCCTAAAAACAACCATTAAACTTTAATAGCAAACTTCTACCGACCGATATAAAAACGCTCTTCAGGACTTTGCCAGTAGCTTTCATAGTAAGATGGAACATCATATCTACCATATTCATAATAATTTGGGAGAAGTGTATTTGCTGCTCGATCTTTTTCATATTTAACAGCCGCCATTTGCCAGCCAAACACAGCTAATTGTATGAGGCAAAATATCTAAACAACGATAGATAACGATAGATAAGCAGCAGTTCTGCAGCGGAAAAATTATAAAGCCAGTTTCATCTTATCAGATATATATTTGCATCAGTGCAGGTAGTGAATTCGACTGGCAAATGAGTCACAGCCACTTACAAATTCAAAAGTGTAATAAAAATTGCAAGCTCAAACTTTAAAAATAAACTCTCTCTTCTCCCCTTCCCCTTCCCTCCAAAGAATAAATAGCCTGAAAGCAATATGAAACATGTTCCTCGCTATGGTCGAAAAAAAATCCCTTTTGCATTAATATTTCAATATGGCAAACGTTGAACTGTACCTATATAGAATCTCCCCAGTGGATTTTCATAATAATTTTCAAAATAGGTGGGACCATTGAAATTAGCATAAGTATTATAAGCAGCTGTAAGATAATTTCCGGCTTGGTCCCTTTCATATTTTATTGCATATAGTTGCCAACTGAATATACTAAATTGAAATGCTGTGAAAACCTGCAATTTATGCGCGAATTTTTTTTGGAGGATTTCAGATAATTTTAAATTAATTTAAAATAAAATCAGTCGAATTCAGCTGGCAATTGTTCAAAATAATATAATAATAAAGAAAAGTTCTATAGAAAAGATCTAAAATGTCTTTTTAATTTCACTAGAACAAAATAATAGAATGAAGGAGACGAAAAATCAGATTTCATTGCTTTTATGATTTGAACTGTTATCAGTAAGCCTCTTAAATTTAAATTTTACTACCGAATATCGAAGTTCTACAAGGAAATTCAATGTTTTTATTCAAAAATTCACATTGATTATTCCTCATTTTGAAGCCACGTTTTAAAATACCCGAATATCCAGGCCGATTCTTATGCTAAAAGTATAGTTGATTTCTTCTTTTAACATCCCTGGCCGGCTCCGCAGGCTATTAGAATGAAAACAAAACCACCTCGCCAGACAGCCACTTAGGAATAGGAGTGCAAATATGTCCTCGATTTCAATTTTATTAGGCTCACTCAAAAATATATATCAAACTCGAAGACATATGTCTCTATAAAGGAATGAAATTATGAAATTTATGAATCTTAGTAATTTATTTAAACGCGGCTTATTCTACTAATTTCTGGAATAGCCTAGTGACCTATATATCTAATGTATTTTTGACATTTGTAAACAAACAGAATACAGAATGCTGACCTAAAAATAATATTTTTGGCTCACTTGGTGTTCAGTAAATCATTTTTCGCATATCGTTATAATATTTAGTTGGCAGCATAAATAAATATAAATCGCCACCTTTTCAATTTTTTAGAAAATAATTGGGTTAATAGCGAATTCATTACCCTCAACTAAGGCACTGGTGCGTGAAGTCGAGGCTCCTACACAAGGGCACCAATACTCACATTGGAGGTTAGCTTGAGCCATGGTAACAGTTCGACAGTAACTGATCACACGCAATTGCCAGCCGAATAGCACTAATGATGCAAGTGCATGTACCTTGAAATTTCCATCAAATTTTAGATTTTTGGACTCAACAAATTTTCAGGCGAATTCAAAAAAATTTTAGTTACCATAGAATGTACTACTGTTCAGTGAAAACTATTGTCCTATATGCGAAACCATTGCTTTCTCGGTTATTTCCTACTTCTGTTATTTCCTCCTATATAATGCATTTTTTGACATTTATAAGCAAACTGCTTCGGCAAAAGAACTTCGCATTATTTTCCCCTCCACTAAGACGATGCAGAAAATTTAATTTTGCCGAATCATGAATTCATTTACAAATAGGCAAAAAGTGACGAAAATTGTTTGAAATATTAGTCTTTCTCTGGTTTCCAACAAAGCCACCTTAATCAACCACATTCCCCCATCTTAAAAAGTTTGCTTGAAGCGGAAAGAACTAACCATACTCCATATTCCAACCAGTACTGAGCCTTCCTTCAAACTCCAACAGCAGCAAGCATTGCACGTCGTCTTTGCTTGCATTTTAGTCATAATGAAGTTAGAGAAAAGCTAAGGAAATTCTGACATCCGATACAAATACAAATAAAATTAGTTCGAAATCAAGGATTCGAAAAAAAGCGAAATTCGACCAAATTAAGTATTTGTAATATTTCGCAACATTTTTAATAATTCAGCATATCTCGAAGATATTTTCGGAAATAGAAATATATAGAAATATTTCTGAAAAACAAATATTTTTATACACTCAAATGACGAATTCGACTTGAGCAATCATCTGCAATTCACCAAAATCAGAAAAGTAACTTATGAAGAAAAAAGTTAATGAACTGCCGACAAAAATCATCAAAATGCTGCAATAATGATCATGAGCTAACTGCAAGGAAACATAATTAGTGGTTAGCGCTTATTATTTTAATTAGGCTAGCTAACCAAGCTAGCTTATAGAACAGTTAGAATTTTTGACATGGAGCATTCGGCGAAGGAAGTGTAGATAGGTCGCCAGTATAGTTCAGATTTTTTAATAAAAGGTTTATTTATGTCATGATTAGGAACCATTATACCCATAACACGATTTTTTTTTGAACCATTATCAAGTAGACTATCCAGTTCTTAATTTAGAAGGAATGTATTCGCTCTTTCTCCTCCATCTTTCCATCTTTCTGACGGAAATAAACAGCAAATCGCTAGCTAAACAAATTGTTTGGTTTTTTAGATATTTTTTGCATCTTTTGTCACCGCTTAATTACCTTTTCTGCTTTTTGCTTTGTCCCACGTTTTCTGATTAGGCTCGTTCCGTTGGAACAAGAAGGTTCACGATAGATATACAGATGAGTCGTCAACATCACTTATATTTTTGAGGAGCAGGTTTCACTCCTGCCGATAAAACTTCAGCATCGATTCTGCGAAATATTATCAGCCATTTTACTCTTTATCTTCCCAAATCATCAAATTGTTCCTGGTTTGTTGGCTCTCCATTGACTAGAATCACTAGAAATAGAAGTGTGGTTGGATTCCTCAAGCCATCTATTTTACTTTTAATAGGCTCCGTCAAAGGACACGTATTGAAGAGCCCATAATGCTTGACAACTGAAGCAATGTACCACTCGACCACATTGTTCATCTGAATTATAAAGAATGATTTAAACAATATGCCCATGGTGTTTAGTGGCAAGATGAATGCCACCAAGAACTGAGAATGGGTTCGAATCCAAGCGACATTTCACGCTTCGTGAAACGGTCGATAGTTTCGTCGAGCAGCAAGAAATGCATGGAACGGCTCAATGGTCTGTTGCTCATTTCGAAACGGAACTGCCAAGGTTTTACGTCTTGCAAGAGACTGATATCTACGCTTCAAAAATATGGGTGATGCTGGCAGCTGCTTGTATCTCTATCGTCAGATGGCAAATTCGCCTGATCCGACGAGTCAGCGGAGCGATCGAATCAGCAATGGTGAACGTTCGGAGAGAAACAAACTCAAACGATGCGACTTAGCCCTTATTTTGATTATTTCATCTAACTGTACTGCTTTTATGCAAACAGTGACGACAAAAAATTATATATATTTATTTGGAAGTTTGGAAATGATTGGGAAAAACACAAAAATTCTTTGTAAGCAGAAAATAACGATGAATTTGAAGAGAATTTTAAGGAATTCGCGAATCACCATTTACATAAAAAAGCAAACATTGCTCGCCAAAATAAATATCGTTTATCGTAAAATTCGCATCGATTTCGTATTTATTCAACTATACAACTGAAGAGATTAATGCAAAACATTTCTTGTATTCGCTATGCCGTTTTATAACCATGCTTAATCATCTCGTTTCCAAGCCTAAGTAAAAAGTGAGCAGAGGGGAGAGTGAAGAGTGGTTGGACACCATTTCTAGCCAAATTCACTTGGCTCACTCACGACAAGAAAGAAATTCTGGCGATAGAAGCACAAGTGGGTCGCTAGCAAAACCCGAAATTTTTTGAAAATTTCTCGCCCTTCTAAGTGCAGAGAGTGGAGTGGAACAGAACTGCTGAATGCTGAACGCTAAGCATTTGCCTTCTTCGCATGTAAAATATTGTTTAAAAAGCTTAAATTGAGTATTAAATAACAATTTATTTAAATATAAAAGAGTGTGCTGCTAAACAAATATAAGAAAAGAAAAGAAAATATGATGAAATACAATAAAAATGGAAGCAAAATTGAATCAAATTGTAAGAAAAAAAAAAGTAATGGACGAGTAATGAGCTGCAAATTTTCAAGATAACATTACAAAGAATCGTCTTAAAACTGATAAACTGATAAAATGGCTAATGGGGCATAAACAAGTGCCAATTTCCATCAGATAATACCTCTAATTATGGTCCTACGAACAGGTTTAAAATTTCATTCAACTGCTTCTGTTAGATCGTCGCCTCGGTTGCATCAAAATTCAAGCTGAACTCATGACGTAGTTAAATTAAAATAAAAGTCCAAGAAATGTTTATTTTTTTGGAATATATTGTCCATCAATCTAAACTAAAATTATTGCATTTTATCATTCATATCATTCAGTTAAAAGAAAATTCTTCAAAAGCTATCAAAAAGCGAAAAAAATTTCAGACACTTCGGTGATAATACAATAATCGATAAAAATATGAGGAATTTAGGAAAAACCAAAAATTCATGGAACTTGTTCGTGGCAGATAGTTTAAATTTGGCGTCAGCTGGAATGAACATTGCTGCCTCTCTTCGTCGTCACAGCCTAAACTTTTAGAGCCGTTTTTTTGAGAAAGGATTTTTTACGATCAAAAAACGTTCAGAACCCATTTATCAGTTCTATAACAGCTTTTTACGAATTTATTTATAATGAAAAAATAAATTTAAAAATAAATAAATAAAATTTTGATTTTAAAGTGCAAAAAATGTAATTCAAAATTATTGCTCAAAATATCGTGGATTAATGCTCTAGGAAATCGGCCTAAGAAAACGTAACCATCACACGAGCACAACAAAGAATTCCGGTGGTTAAATGGATTAGCCAAATAAAAAAATAGAAAAAACGGAAATTGATCACAAATCCTTTTCAGGAACATCGTTTAAAGATGGAAAATTTTGAAATTTCTAAGGCTTCAAGTTTGAAAAAACATTTTGAAAAATGTTTTGAAATAAAGGTTTCAGCCTTCTAATGTATTATTCTTTATTCTTAATGCCTTTTTTGCATGAAATACAATAATTTCAAGCCAAAGGACTATTTGTCAATTTCTGGCCTCACTATTATCTTTTTTAATTACAAGTTGAATGGTTCCTTCTATTAGAATGGAACTTTTTCTGCAGTACTCTCCTTTTGGACCAGCAGGATCTTCGTATTGAAATCATCAATAATTGATCTTGTAGCCGATAAAAAAGTATTATCATTTTTATTTTGTCAGCTAACGAGAATAAGAATGTAGCATTAGATCAAAATAATCATATTAAAATAAATAATCATATTAAAAATTATCATATGATTCATAAAATAAATTTTATTATGAATCAGAAAATATTTTATTAAACTATTTTATCAATTTATGAAATTAAATATTACTTTTTCACTTTGAGAAAAAAGTGGAACAAATGAGAATGAGAATAACACGTAAAACAAATCTCGAAATCCTGGAAAAAATAAAAAACAAATGACATTTCCGCACCTTTTTTTGTCTAAAATGGGAGAAGTTCTAATTTTTTTAGTTATATAATTTTTTAACGTGGAAAAGTGAATAAAAAATGTTTAAGAACTCATCATCTCTAACTCGCTGTTAATGCGGTTAGAAAATTTTGCCAGAAAACCACTCTGATGAAAGTGTGGTCGCCAACATCAAGTTCTTATTGCTAGCATGGACAGGACCGAAACGAAAGAATTATAAGAATTCCACGACAGCCACAATTTTCTTATCTCATTTACGAATAATGCTTACTCATTTACAAATAATACTCATATGGTTAGCAAAGCGTGATGAATAGAGGATGTCATCTTTATTAAGAGTCAATGGTTCGTGCTGCTCATAAAAATAAGGATTCAGAAAATGCTGGTGATGGTGATTTCTTGTTTTCTCGAGTGATTACCTGGCGAAAAATTCTCTAACTGCCTCAGCGGTGTCTAATTAGAAATAGTGAACCACTTATTCAAACATAATATAATATAATATATCGTTTTTATAGCGAAAAAAGTTTTGAAAAAATGAAAAAATTTTCGATTTAAAAACTCCGTGCGAAAATCCTCAGAAGCTATAATATGATCGCTTATAAAGCGGACAGGTGAGTCAGAGAATGCGATCCTTCAATATTTGTAAATATTTGCTTAGTTAGAGATTATGCTAACTCGTTTATGACGATCGTAGAATTCTCGTTTTTTCAACAGTAGTGAGTGAAGTAAGGTATAACATTATTGTTCTGATAAGGAAAAGAAAAAACAAGTAATTTAATAAAATCACAGCGAAAAAAGATCAATGTACTTAATTTATTAATGCATTTCGATGTCTCCTATAAACATGGAATTTGCAACTACTTGGTTATCGTTAATGTTAAACAGTAGACATACCATTTCTTTATCACTAATACCATTTCTTTATCACTAATTTTGCCGAAATTTGAGTATAAAATAGCGAATACCATATTCAAAAATATTTAAACAAGGCCATATTTCATTGTTATAGGGGCAGAATGAAGAAATGAGTTGTTGTATTTACTTCAACTGAATTCCACTTCCGACAGGAATAGGAGAATTTATTTTTCAAAAAACCGGATGATGCTGGCGACCCATATATAGTTCTGTACTTTTGTCACCAAGTGACACCTTAATAAAATTTGTCTAGCAAGTTTGACAAGCCAATGGAGAACTGGTGAGAGCTTTTTGAAAAGAAAAATCGTCACATAATCAAAATAAATATACTTATAATAAGTAAGTATAAGTATCAAAATAAGTAAAATAAGTGAAACCCAATTCGCTCATAAATATTTATTTGTAACGTTTGTTTTATTTATCATACAATTAATAATTAACAATGGTTTTTTTCGATGTTTCGAATAGTTTTTCAGAAATAAATTATGCAATATATCGGATTAAGAGAGTTAAGAACCACTAGATTTACTGGATTGAATCAAGACAAGCTGAATATCATGGATGCGCCTTAAGATGCATGAATATCATATCAGAATTCGATGTGTCTCGATTCCATATTTTCGATTGTAGAACTTCGGAATTGCTTCTAAAATTCCCCTTATTTTTCCCATTTTTTCGAAGTGTTTCTAGATCGGCCGCATATTATAATGATCTTAAATTTTCAAATTTCCAAGTTTTCATATACTAATATATTTGAATAATTACGAAAAAGTATCCTCTGCACCAAAATACCCCATCCGGGCATCCATAATGGTGTAGAAAATATTTATTATCATCCAATTCTCATATTCAAGCATATTACAGCAAATTTACAATATTTAATATAAGAAAAATTTTTAACTTTTTGACAAAGATGAAAAACTTATTTATTTTATTTACGTTGAATCAAGTCAAAAATTATATCCCCTTTATTTTCACCCTTGTCCTTTTAGCTAGTTTTACAATTATTGTACTAAAGATTTACCATTTTTCGGAAAAACATTTTATCGATTTTACTTTGACAAATGCAAAAATTGGCCAAATATATTAATTTGCTTTCCACTTTAAAGTGAAAAAGCTGGAATTATCTAATATGCAATATAGGCAGTTGATAAGAAAAAAATGATCAATTGGGCAATAGACAGAGTGAAAATTATGCAACGTTGACAACCGAATAGTGATCGAATTTATTTATTGAATTTTTTTAAGAATAGCAATACCCACATAAACCTTAGTAATTACTTCAAATATCTGTAAATAAGTTAAGTGAATGAAGAGGCGGAAATGTTAGGCGATATCGCCTTAAGCCGATTTCCTAAATCTCATCAAATTCACAACTCTCAGGATCCAAACTATTCGGTTATCAAAAGCATATGCTGAACACTGGAAGTCAACTTATCTAGAATTTTTCTAGAAAAACGCAGAATGAAAGCGAAAGATCATCCATCATTCATAGGTGTTTACAAACAAAAATGTGACAAAAAGTTATGCTTGTGAATAAGAAATATTTCAAAAAACATTTTTTGACCTAAATATAATGTGAAAATGCCAGAAGTAAGTAATTTGGGCAATAACCCATAAATGGGTTATTTGTTCAATTCTAGATAAGTTGACTTCCAGTGTCTTACTTTTTGCCTCACTTTATAAAAGATAAAATGAAAAAAAATTTCAGCGAAAATCACAATGGCACAAAATAATGAAATATGAAATATAATGAAATATGAAAACGGAAATATTTATATGGCTTAGAAAGTGGTTTTCTTATTTTACTGTTTCTAATAAATAGTATTACCACTAGTGCATTTATAATGACGAAATTTCGTGGATAATGCCAAACACTTATGGGGATTTATATGTACAATAATAATACATAGCAAGACAGCCAATAGGAAATTGAATACTTTATTGCCCATTCCATTCACTTAATGATTTTTACGAAATAAATTAAATAAATTATGGAATAAGTTGTTGACAAAATGATCCATCATTTCCCATCATCATATTAGAATCTTTTATCAAAACTTGACCATTCAACATTCAAATAATCTGACATATATATAAATATTCTAGATATTCAATGTTTATAATCTGATTCTTGTAGTAATATTTTAATGAAAAACATTTTAAATTAAATAGGAAGAATTTATTGAAAAGGTAGTCAAAATAAAAAATATGAAAAGTCATATAAACGATTGAAAATGCTATCATTTGTATTACTTATAGTGCTTTCCTAACGGTTTGCCATAATATTTGTTCCAAAAAGTATAACTTATTACTGAGCCAGTGTATTACTTGCTTCTTTTGTCATTCTTCATTCTTTTGCACAATAATTCCCAAGGTTCCGAAATAACTCCTAAATCCGAGATGAATCAATTATTCAAATTATTCAAATAAACTTACAAAAATTTGAATCGCTTGCGTTGTTTCATAAAAAATAATATAGGTTGAGTGATAAAATATAAATTAAAATCGATTCAATCACTTGCAGTTTTTATCGTTTCACACAATAAATCCTTAGGAATATTTAGAAATAATTTGTTTCCTCTGCTAAAGTCGTCGTTTGAAATTCGTTTCGAAAACGTTCAGTTCCAACTTGGCCTCCTTCACCAGGGATGTAATTATGATGTGTCTTTAGCTATAATTATACAATCGTTTGTCGTCACCGATAATTGTAAAAGAAGATAGCTGGCTGGTCAGATACTGAACGCCAGAGTTTGGATCCCATTCCACCTCTGCCGAATTAAACTTGCTTTCAAAAATTCTTATAGCGCTGGCGAATCAGCTATGTCTCAAGGCAACTAACTGGCATAAATTTTTTATCTTACTAACAACAAAGCGAGCCTAACAAGAAATAGCAACAGTCAACCACCGCCTTTTATAAATTCATCATCGATAGCTAAGAGAGCTAAATTCAAATGGTGCACTATTTTCTTCCTATGGGAAAATCACCTAAAAAAAAATAAGAGATTAATTTGGATAGAGGAAGCTAAAAACTTTATTTAGGTATTTAATAAAGCTCACCTTCGTCATGCGATCGTATACACCATGGCCAGCATCAGATTCCTCATTAAGCAAATCGGCGTCACGTTCAACTCTCTGTAAAAATGAAATGTGGCTAGAGGGAATTAGCAAAATAGGGAATCTTGATTATTTACCATTTGGCGTGAAGAGACGTATCCACCGTTTGAAGCTTCTGCCGCAGAACGTAAATAATGATCAGACATAGTTGTGGCGAATTGTTCAGCTTCTGTTTCTACTGGTGGATGAACAACAAACTGCAACATATATTGATTTATTTCGATAAGGGATTAATCCTCTGACGCGCTCCCAGCCCGGTGGTACATGTGATAAGTATACAGTCCAGGAATAATAAAACGACCTCAAGTCTTGAGAATTAGCTGAGCTCGCGAACTAGAGCAATGCTTTAAACCTATTAAAAGAAACGGCTCTCTGCACGCACAACGAGGTGTTAGCAGTATCAGCGTGAGAGCTTATGGAGTTGCAAGCCAAGCGATTATTGCCTCCATCTTTTTTCCTAAATATTGTGCATATGTCGCCCCGTTTGTTGGAGATTCCGCCTTCTTCACTTCACATCTCCAGCAATTATTAATCCTAGCTCCGAGCAGAGATATTGATTTTATCTCCGTGACGATAATTCGGGATAAAATGGCATAGCGATTTGGCGAGTCATATCTCAAAAAGGGCCCACTCCGCACTAATGAAGTGGCAACCGGTAAATGACGGTGTGGCCTATGCCGGCTCCAAAAGAAAATTCTGCAATATTTCGAGTCATTAGTATACAGGCTTCAACCTTATGCTCAGATCACGTCAATAAGGAAAAAATTCGAAGCAGAACTCCAACTACTAGCAACATGTCGGCCGAAAAGTGATATGGTCATAATATGAGGAAACTGGAATGCGCACATAGATCATGGTACGGCCAATTGGTAAATGATAAATGTGCACCGAAGAACGCTTTCTTCGCTTTGCGAAAGAGCATTAACTTCTTGTTACTAATACTTGATATTTAATCATATGGATATTTAATCATATGGAACTCTATGGAGAACTCTAACCAGATTGCACTTTAGTCAGTGTCATTTTAAGAATCCCTTATTCGATAGAATCAGTCACTCATATTGGGGTGCTGAAGCGAACTTTGTTATGGTTCGAGTCAGGATTCACATAAAACTGAGAACTCGCAGGAAACAATGCCTTTAAGATGTTTAAACTATCTCAGAACAAAAGATTTAGAAATAGCAAGCGCATTTAAAACCAAAATATTGAAGCAACGCAGTGAAGTGGATAATCAATGGACATTTCTGGAAAGCAGATGAATAGTGGCCTTAACTAAAGATGTATCTCCAAAAATCACCCACTTTCACACTACCCTAATATCGCATCAACCCCAATATCGAATGGCCAAGCAAAAGAGAAAATTACAATCCGGATGAGGGTAGCTAGAAATGCGTTTCTTCCTTTACTAACTCGTCGCCAAATCACTATAAGAACGAAAATCCGCGTTTATATGGGTGTAATTTGCTGGATCTTGTCATATGGCTGCGAGACACGACCAAAGATAGCGGATTATATTAAGGAGCAATCATATCTACAAATATATGAGCCAAGCAGATAAAATGTCACATAATTATCTCTGTCTTCGCTCAAATACCACTTGCATTAATAGTACCATCACAGAATCTTGTCTTCGTGTTTTTCGTCGCCAATTGTCTCACAGCGGTTGAAATTTTTAGAAGAAGAAGAACATATTTTGTTAGTTGTTAAACCCTGTGATCGATAATGTCAAAAGCAAGCAGGAACAATCAAGACTTGATATTGACAGTCAGGAAATTTTCTAACGTATGAGAGGGAACCAGCGATATATAGACGATAGATTAAAAAATGAATCACTTTTATTACTATCAGTAACGTTATCGGATCAAGCAGCTTGAAAACCTTTGGAATGGGTCAAGAATGGAAAACAAAGGATGAAACCTGTTGATCCACAGAAGTATCGAGGATTCACATCGAGTCATCATCGACTAAGGATGCGCTATTATAGGCTCGATTTTTCTCTTTCGATGAATGCTATTAAAGAACTTCTGTATATCAAATGATTCTCTGTTGAAATCTCATCCTTACAGCCAGCAGATAGACAGCGATACAAGAAGTGGTGAATATTAGAAGATATGGCTACCACTATGTATGTTATAATAAATATCGGAAAGAAGACATTGATACAATCAGACATAAAAAATAAACTTGAGCTGAACGAAGTCCATTTTCGTCACTCGAAGAAGTAATACCATAAACAGTTCGAGTTACATTTCCTTCAGCATCAGTAACAGTTGTTGTTCGAACCTCAGAACGGGTCACATCAGTAATGACCCGTCGTTCTACATGTTCATCAGATGAAACAGTTGATATTGAACCACCGTCATTTAAATAACTCTGCAATGCAGCACCATTCATTGGTCGAACGGTTAAGGAGTCTTCGCCTACCTTAAAAGCTAAATTTCATCAAAAATGTAGACATAAGGAGTTCTGAGCATGATTATCTGTTTTAACCAAATGTTATTTGAAAAAATCGATGTTCTTTGGAAATTTCGAATAATGAAAAAGAAAGCTAAAAAGCTAAAAGCTTCTGGGGCTAAAAAAATGATATTTAGAAGCATCAAAAATAAATCGCGCTAACATCGCGCTTTCTAAGTTTGGCTCGAGGAATTGTATAATAGTCCGATCCAAGTATTTCTTCTCTCATACTACCTGCACTTACTCCACGACCTCGGAAATACCTAAAATATCCGTTATTAAAACCATCATTAGTCATTGTTGACTAATGTTGCTAAAAGTTCAATAATTTAAATATTAAGCAATTTCATCAATGCTGGTCATTGTAACTGGAATTTGGCACTAACTTTGTTTTTAAGCAAAAATATAGGCAACAACATAGCGTCAGAAGAAGAAAAATAAGAGCAAGGATCAACGGCAAGATTAATGATGCTTTAGAAGGAGCTATTTCACAGAATTTGCCAGTATATCCTTCTATACAAGCACAAGTAATATTCTTCGTATTAATATCGTGAACGCAATCGCCATGTCCATGACAAAGGCCACATAACAAAGCAGCACATATTCGTCCTGGTTCTGATGGATTGCCATCCGTATAGCTGGAAATATCGCTTCATTTGTAAGCAAATATTTTTCATAAAAAGCCTCATCCGGCATCAATTGTTTGCCAATGGTTGTAGAGAAAATTCATCAAAAAAAGGAACTATTTCCAGGCCTGAAAAAGTAAAAGTATTACCCCTGAGGACATTCACATTCGTATCCTTTTTCAAGATCGGTGCAAATTGCCACAGCGCTGCAATTATGCAGACCCAAAAGACATTCATTAACATCTTCAATTCGTTTGCAAATAATATCTAAACCAGAAGATGAAGGACGAATTTTGCGTCGTATATCAATGTAGTCAGGTAAACAAGTACAAATTGCCTGGAATATTAAATCGTTGAAATAAATATTTAAACATTAGATTAGCAAAATAATCAGAAGTACGCAGTAGACCAGACAAATTTATTTAGAATATTTAGAATATAACCTGTGAATCTGCATTAATACAAGTGGAATTTGCAGGGCAATAATGAACATCAGAACAATAATCCAGTCGACAAACGGAGCCGCGAAGTTCATCTTTCTTAGCTGCGTTCACATAAGGTTTAATACATTCACACCTATAAAATTATCTGGGTTAATGACGACCACTCCATTATTTTAATGGTCAACTTAAATTCTTAAAGAATCGTTGACAAGCAAATATTCCTAAGATTTTTCTGAAACATTATGCATAAAGCACTAAAATTTTTACAGCAAAAACGTCTTTTCACTTTATATCATATCATTCCTTGTTTCATTGTACGCGATGCAGATTTCAGTTTATTTAAATCACACCTTTATAAGTGGAATTTTAGCCATCATCCGACATCATTTTCACTAACAAGTTTTACTAGCGTTAATGAATATGGATTGAATCATTGATGCTTGAACTTATAGTCGAAGCAATATACCATGCGGTAAAATGAAAATAACAAAGTGGGAAGAATTTGCTAAAAATTTCGTGGGTAAAATTTATTCCTATAATGAAGAATAATCTTCAAAAATGGCTAACCTATACAAATGTTCTTCGTCGATACAACGAGCGTTTTCATCACACTCATTCCATTCATTATTTTCGCATTCATTCACTCCAATTGTGCTCAAACAAAGACGCCCAGGATAAGCTGGATTTAAATCTCGGAAATTGGTTGGACATTGACATCTGTATATTTACCTTTCAGATTCTGCATGATCAAATTTTTTAAGGCTATAAATTATATATCATGTATGCTTATTTTCTAATAGATCAGAGCAAAGTCGAATCATTGTTCAATAAAAAGTTATTAAATTATCTAAAATGTTCGATATAAAATAAATTAAGAATCTATCGCACACTACTTCTAACAGCTCTCACCATTACTGGTTAGGCTGGCTCTACTGGCTACAAGGGTAAGACGTTTCCAAACTGCGATCTGATGCCATCGTCGACAGCACTAGAAGCCACTCTCTTTTCTATCGCCTAAGTCCATATATTGCTGGCCCATTCACTCCTTCAAAATTTCTTGACTGTATCAGTCTAGGTCTCGACTGGTCCTCTTCACTTTTGCCGCCATCCATTATAGGATTTATCAAGTAACGAAATATGTATCAACTCTTGTGGTAGGAGGCAAAGAACGACTTAACCAGCGAAGGCGACGATCTCTAACGGCACTGTTAGTGCAAGTGGTGTATTTGAATGAAGGTGGATGCGATCATGCGAGATTTTATCCGCTCAGCGGACCCGTAAAATGTTTCTTAGACATGAGGTTGAAGGTACTTATGAGTGGCCAAAGGCAGAAAACCTCTTAAAGTATTCTTCACATACTCCACTCTCATTGGCTATGTCTCGCAGCCATATAGCAAGATTGCGCGAATCGCGGCTATACAGAGACGGGCTTTAATTTTTATGGTGATCTTACGACGGCTCCACAAAGGTTTCGTTAACTGGAAAAATGCATTTTTTGCTGCCGTTGAAATATCATCTTTTGCTTGCATTCGATATTAAAGTAGATTTGAGATAAAACTTGGCATTTCCTCAACCGGCAATGAGTTTATTAAAAAAGGCATTTATTGTATAATTATTGTATAATAATTATTTATGACATTTATAATTATTTATTGTATATAAAACGAAAAGGCTTTGATTTACATTGACCTTAAGTCCGATTCTCGCTGCAATTGTCGACACATTATTTAGCATTAGTTACATTTCAGCATAAAGGACTACGTCATCAGCGTATTCAAGGTCTGATGCTTTGATGTGATGCTCTGGACTGATTTATACATCTCTTGAGAAGCTGTGTCCATTATCCAGTCTATCGTATATCGCATACCGAGCAAATGAGCTATCGCCTAAACAATAGACGTCAACTTCACACCACCGACAACTTTGGGCTTATTCCATCTTCCAGGTGATGATTAATACTCTTACTCTTACTCTTAACAGGCACAACAATCGTTCCCCGAGTTATAATTGCTTTGTGAAGAAGGCGAAAGAGTTTCCTACTATCGTCTAATCGAGCCATCGTCTCCATTCTCAAGGTCTTGTTGCTCCACTTTAAAGCATCTGTGATAAGCATGATTTCTTGCCATTTATGCTTTGGCAGTGTTTTCAAACAACTGGATAGTTACTTCCGATACCCAACTAAAGCACTTCTTACTAGTATAGCGTAGAAGCGGTTGACTTTCGGAGAACTCCTTTGGTTTGGTATTCATTTGCCGTTCCAGAAAATCATTGATATTTATACCACTGAAGTGTTTCAATTTGGTTTAAAATCCGCTCACTGTCCACGAATTTTTTAGTTCGAGATAGTTGAAAGATCTTGGAGGATGGTTTTTCTTGCGAGTTGTCAATTTTATGCGGATCTTGGCCCGGACCATAAGACAGTCAGATCCATGAATATTGCCCGTCTCAGCACCGCAATATGAACGGCTATCTTTTACGGAACTCTTTAAACGGCGACTGATTAAGAAGTAATCAATCTGGTTGAAGTAATGGCTAGCCGTGGAGTTCCATCTGATTAGATGTTTTTTAAGCTGCCGGAAGTATATATTACTGACAAAAAGTTCAACAAAGCGAACAAGGCGTTTCCCATTGGGCTCACTCCGATGCCATATCTGCCAATTATCGAGTTCATCGCAAAAGCATCATGATCTAAACGCACATTCCAGTCTCCTGCGATTATGACGATGCCACATTTCGATAGAGATTTTGTTAGCAACTGAAGTTCCGCATAAAACTTATCTTTATCATGATGCCTCTGCGGATAAAGTTGGAGCATATACACTGATGGCTAAGATGTTGCAGAATTTATCTTTAAAGAAAATGCCACACGGTCCCTTAAATATTTTCATTCAATCAAAGTGGAACGGATTTTTTCAGATATGACAATCGCTAAATCACTTCGCCCCAAGTTATCCGAAGTGATATAGCCAGTAGCTCTGTTCCGAACCAGGATTAGTAATTACTCGAGATCCGAAGTGAGGAACACGGATCTCCGACAAGCAGGCGATATCTATATTATGTTTAGAAAAGTGTGGACAGTAATCGTTTGGCTTGCGACATCCATAAGTGTTTTAATGTTCCACGCTAATATGGCTCTCGCCGAGTATGTAGAGTCATCTCCCTTGATAGGTTTCGAGCAATTCTTCCGGCTTACAAGCATATTTTCTTTATGAACTTTGAGACTTTGAGATTTAATTCCCGTATTGTATACTTATTACATGTACCACCGAGCTGGGAGTATCATCCATACGCTGTTTCAAAAATATCTGATCCTTTCACCATAGAGTCACTTGTGGATTGAATTACAGTGGGTCCTCAGCAACCACCTGGATTTTTGATATGAGAGGTTTACTGTCGAAGACGGACATATTATATTATTTCATATTATTTATTATTAGCATAAGGTGAGAGAAGAATGAAAAAATTTTAGAAATTTAAAAAAAAATTTAAATTTACTCATTTCAATTCAATTTTTTATCTTTAAATTTCGAAAAGAAAAAATAGTTTAGCTCGCTATTTATAGAAATTATAAAATATACCAAAAAAATAGCACAAAAATAACAGCGGAATAGAAATATAACCGCTCAAGATTCGAGATAATTTTTAAATTTATCGCACTACAAAACAAACGATAGCTAATTATGAAGATTATAAAAGACCTGTATCCTGATCCCTCTTCTACACAAATTGCATTTGGATGACAGTTACTTTTGAAGCACTGATCGAATGGATTCGCTTGAGATGGACTAATAAATTGATTGCTTTTACCTACCTAAATTTAATGTTCGACTATTAAGGAAAATTTTTGCAAACTTAGTAAATTCTTTTTATATTTTATATTTTATTTCCTTAACTTTTTCTTTCTTAAAATAGCTTAATGTTTGGGTTTTCGCTCAATTCGGAGAAAGCCGATACTAAAATTCTATTACCCGCAGGAGTAAACTTGTCCAAAAATCCGGGTGATGCTGGCGACTCCCTGTGTTTCTATCGCCAAGGGACTCCCTGGCATACTTGTTCAGTGCGACAAGCCAGCGGAGAACTTTAACCAGTAATGGTGAAAAACTCTTTAAAATATATGTATATATGTATATGTAATTTTATTTTATATACATATATATAAAATTCAATTTCAAGAGAATTCTCTTCTTTCCTATTCGTTGAATAAATTTCCTTCAACTATAAAGGATAGCAAAAAAGTACAACCTCATAATTGTTTTTCCTCGATATATATTCAACTAAATCATTAAATATTTTTTGTGGATCTGGAATAGAACCTCGAACGAAATTTGAGGTGAAATTATATAATATTCCATAATTCCAAGTCTTAAAAAATAAAAACAGTATTAGATCAGAAATTTTTTATTTCTGAAGGGCAGAAGATATTTAGGTTTGCTAATCGAATCAAATATTAAATTCAAATTTAAAACTTGGAACCTTGTTAATCTTTTCCGGATTAATAATATCGTTTACTTCTGCGACCAGAAATCCATTTTTCAGTGGTGTTTGTGCATAACTTTGACGAATGCCTTCTTCAAAAGCTTCAACCAGTCTCTTATAATCGGTGCTATGAGGATTGGAAAGATTATCAGTGTAATTTAGAGGAATACCATCTTCACGAATGACCCATAAGGGCAAATTCCATGCTTCAACCTTGAATCATATTCTTTGTAAAGTCAGTAAGTAAACATTAAACACACAATTGAAGCATGCTTACTGGACGACATTTTTCATCCTGTTTTGCACGTTTCTGGCCAATAGGACAACCACAAGTTCTGCCAACAACACAGATTTCGCCCAAATCAAGTTGACAGAATGTTGTCCCGCATGGTATTCCTTTATGTACCTCCTTTCTAAAATTAACTTACAATTTAAATTGATTTTTAAAAGTCCTCGACTTCGACTTCGACTCCTTTGACCTCGACTTAAAAACTTTATATAAAGATTATTACGAATATATTTGCTGAATTTTTATGGATGAATTTAGACTCATTTATCACGCAAACCTTATTTCCCAGTATTTTTTACTATTATTATTAATGGTATTAAATAATAGTGCTAATAATAATATCAAATATATCAAATCACTACTCCGAATAAATCTGTATTGCGATATTAAATCCCCGAAGTGTATAAAAGAGTTCCAATTCTAAAATTTCAGTTTTATAGAAATATTGAAAAAAAAATTCTTTTTTTTTCGGCACTCTAACATATTTACTAATAATGAAGCCAGTTTTCTTGTTACCTGCATGGGTCTAATTGATCATTGTCATCAGCTACAATCAATGGTCCACCTCCAAGACGATAGTTGTAATCTTTTATTGCTCGCATAAATTTGCTCCAAAATTCACATTTATCAATAGGAGAGGTGAAATCAGCGGTTCCATTAAATAATAATCCAGATTCCCAAGAGCTGCAGTATAAACAATACAACAATATAAAGTAAATACCAATATTAATATTAAACAAATTTTTAATCAACATCCATATCGCTTTAAGATAAATTCAGAATCATAGTTTTCTGGGTACATTCCTATCGGAGGCAAAATCCGAACTTCTGATTCCCAGTGAGATAATCTGAGAAAAAAACCACACGGCTATCTTACCCCTAAGTGAATGAGAGGAAAGTGATTAAAATTGAACCTGTTTTTAACTTTAGGATTTGTGATATAGGTTACATCTGATGATACGTATTTTGGCGCAAATGACGTTTGTTCCACGGTTGTTTTCATAGCTTGGAGGAACTGGTCCACAATTTCAACGTAACGAGACGACTTCGAATTGCCATACTCGCTACCAAATGCTAGTTGATTGCCATCGCGACCAATAATTCGAATTTCTATTGGAACCTGAATGAAAAATAATAAAATTATATCGATAACAAATAACAAATTAAATATTGTTATCCACTGAATGAATGCAAAAACCTTTTCAACATCAATACAGCCAGCATCAGAAGAAGGCCGATTTTGGTTTGGACGGCATGCGCATCGTTCTCCTCCTACGCAAACTTCACCTAAATCCAAGCGACAAAATCCTAGATCACACGGTAAAAGGTTCGGAGACAAAGTTGTAGGCTCGGCTTCTTGCGGTCGACCCGTTATTAATCCTATAACAAATTTTCCTAAGAAAAATGGAAAATCAAATTTTAATCAGGATAGGGATGATCAAGTAATATTTTTTTGCTGAGTAATATTTTATTAAAAGAATCTTGCCATTGAATATTGAAAATTCAGTGGCACAGAGTGGTTTTCATTTACAGTCCTTTCCTCATCCTAAATAGCCAGTGGAATGAGCCAAATCAGAAAAATTGATTATTGGAATCAAAATTCACTCTGCATTTCATTTCTATCACAATTTAATCTACTTATCAAAGAGAAAAAATTAGTGAACTGTTATGAATTGGTAACGAAATTTGAATATATTCGTATAAAACGAGAAAATAAAAACGCAAACCGACGCATGTTCTTCCCGGTTTTCTTGGATCATTTCCATCATCATAGAATCCAGGTTTGCACTGGCAAATATATCCATCTTCTGTATCACGACATTCTGCATTTTTATCACAGTCATTCATCGCTTCATCAGTACATTCATTATACCTATACCCATTATGCAGTTTAATTTAATAATGTATATTTGGCACTGTAAATATAAAAAAAATGAAAAAATCAGATATTTCATAATATGAAAATGATTACCGACATACTCGGCCTGGATTCGATACTAATTCATCAACATAGGGCGAAATACATTCACAACTGAATCCTTCCAATGTATCGGTACATTTTGCATGAAAATCGCAATCATTGAGACTTGGAGATCCGCATTCATCGATTACTAAAGTAGATATTTACCCAGTCGAGGAATTTTACTAAGAAAAAAGATTTAAAATGGTAATAATCAAAAATTCCAATTTCACAATTTGACAACTTTTATTTTACGCCTCACAATCTACGAAAACAAAATTCTTAATCGATAAATGCTGAGAAAATTTGGAAAAAAGTTACTAGTTTTTATCTACAAATCACCCACTGAAAGAACAATCAGTTCCTGGATTTGAAGGATTATTGTCGTGATATTCTGGTTTGCATCTGCAGCTATATCCATCTTCTTTATCTATGCAATCAGCAAACCTACTACAATTATTTAAATGCGGATTTCGACATTCATCGACAAGCTAGAAAATTAATTTTATCTATAAACTTTATAGTTTTTAAAGTTAAAATAGTGAGTTAAAATACTAAAATATGAGTCCTAGAAGGCACTATTGCATTTTATATTTCGAAAAAATTATTTTTTCCCGCTTATGGAGAGACTTAGTATGATTTTAATAAAAGTACGAATAGGTTCAACCAGAAAATTTTTTCAATTTTTTAGATTTTTTAAACTGAATTTAAAGATAAAAAGATATGAACAAAAATATTTTCACAAATAAAAATAGATAGAAATGAAGGAATTATTATAAAAGGAATTATTACAGCAAAACATTTTCTTCCAGGTTTGTTTCTGTCGGGTGAATCGTCTCTAAATTTGATTGGACATGCACATGTATAGCCTTCTTTCATATCGTGGCAAGTAGCCATGGGATCACAATCATTTAGCGATGCATCCAAACATTCATTTATTTCCTCTTTACATTCTCGACCTAAAGAGAATCTTCTGGTTGAATTACATATGTGAGTTCAACACAAATAATTTAAAGAAAAACCACCTACTAATATGAAGCATCATTCAACCGATATACTTTGACCATAATAGATGTAAGTGGTATCATCGATGAAAAATATATTTCAAAGAATCGAATTCGCATAAAAATTCATTAGAGATAGCGGATGAAAGTAGGTGAGGATGCTTATCCGGCAGGAGAATCATATGACGATCATATCAAGCGCTTCTAACGAAAGAGGAATTAGTTTTGCACAAAAATCTTATTGATGTGCGGTGAAATGCTATAAAAAAGTCTCCCGGAAATTAATCACAAACCAGGTGTTGAGGGCCTAATATCATAATATCCATCACGACACTTGCAAGTATAGCGTTCTGGCCCTAATATTTCAATACAAATTGCTGCAATGTGACAGTCGTGCTTTGTCGGATCCAAGCATATTCGTTCTAAGCATGTTCGGCCTAAATTTACATCATAGATTTAATTAAGAAATTAAACAATTAGTTTTCTTTAATGGCGAATTAATAATTAATGGCGAATTAACTATAAAGATCGCGAGAAATTTCTAATTAACATTAATCTTTTTGGACTTCGCCGTCGTATTTTTTTTATCAAATATTTGCCATAAAAAGATTTTAACGAGAGTTTAATATCCGTTTTTCTTCAATACATCCTGATTCATAAATATTCGCTGCCGGAGAATTCATTCGCCAACATTAAAATTTGATTGGCTGAGGGCAGAGTTCATTCAGAAATAAAGGTTTACCTGGTTTTTCTACACTTTTGTCCATAAAACCAGCGTTACACACGCATTCATAATCATGCTCCCCCCTTTCGATACATTTTGCATTTTTATCGCAATCATGTTTTCCCTCCGAACAAATCCTGTTGACTGAAACCCAACCATATTCGTTAATTGCCTTTATTTGCAACTTGAATGCATGCCATTACTAATAATTGCTTTCCTCAGTATATAATAATGGCCTTGGCAAAGATAAAGGTCTTGACAAGTAGTAACAATTATTTTGTTATTTTCATATTATAAGCCTTAATCACAAAATCTGGTTCAATGGAAAATTACTTTTCTGGCAATTTCGTCCTGGATTACGAAGCTCTTGGTCGATGTAACCCGGTTTACACTGGCATTTATAGCTTTCTTTGGTATCAGTGCATATTGCATTTTCGCTGCACAGATTCAAGGATGAATTGGCACACTCATCAACCAAAGGCTTGCAGTTTGTACCAGCAAAATGCGAAGGATTCGGGCTTAAAATAAAAAAATGTATTCTCTTTGAAAATTTTGTTCCTCAAACTTCCGTTTTTACAGATAAACTGAAGTGATTCCATTAGTTAGCAATCAGTTAGCAAAGGTAAAAACAGATTAAAACCCAAATTAAAACTATTTACCTGAAGTCAATGAAATTCGGTTTGCAACGGCAGAGAAATCCATCGGGAAGATTTATACAAAATGCGTTTTCTGAGCAATTGTGCTTTCCGCTAACGCATTCATCAATCTCTAAACAAAGAATTCGCTAACAAGAATATTAACTAGCTAAAATTGAAATTGGAAAAACTAATTTTAAAACTAAGACTAAAACTTATGCCAATATAAAATCTTGGATTTTTGGAGCTCATTTTCCCATTAAAAAGAAGTTGAACTATTAAGTCCATGATATTACATAGATCAAAAATTTCTTTGTTAAAGCGATCCTCAAAACTAACGCTGCTTACAAATACGGCCGGGTTTTTCTGATTGGTTTGGACTGATATCAAGGAATCCTGGTCGGCAAGTGCAGATGAAATTCTCATCCGTATCGATACAATTCGCATTCGCATCGCAATCGTGAGATCCGACTGCACATTCGTCGATTACTAAAAATTCTATATAAATTCTATTTTATATAGAATTCTACTTTATTCTATATCTAAATTCTACCTTTCATAATAATAATTTAGTTTTTATTCCTAGCATAAAATTTTTTATATCCTTTCTATGAACTGAATTGAATGAACGGCCTGCGTCCCAAATACAATATCGAAACGTGTGGACACTACATGATGATCCTTGGAATTGTTATTAGAAATCTTGGCTCAGCACCAGCGCAAAATGATAAAATGTTATTAACGGAAAATGACGAAAAAACTTTTCGCATCTTAATGCAACAGTAAATTAGAGAACTGCATCATCGAAAATAGGCAGAACCTTCCCTCGAAGCGATCTCTGAAAGAATCTACGCGGTCCATTTTGTCCAAACAAAATTTTACATTCAATAGGTAGTGTAAGTCGTTACTTGGACTTATTTTCAAAAAACGCTTCAGAACTGAAGATCAAAACTAAATTTAAATCAGCAAAAAACGCTTTTCGCTATCATGGAAAAAATAAGCAAATCTTGTTTTATATAGAGTGCCTGTCGAAATTCGATGAAATGTTCGAATCTTTTATTTCATCACTGCTCAATTGGAGATGTGAATATTTGTCACTTTTGGAGCAATAGTTGGAACAAACAAATCTGTAAAAAATGCCAACTAGCCGCAAAGCGTTCCATAAAAACCCAATTTGCATCATGGCATGTTTATATGGAATGTGCATGATCCAGATTTCATGTGGACATTGATCCATGAAATAGCTCTATTTTCTAATGATTGTAATGTTTTTTCCAGAGTTATAAAACGGAGCATTATTATATTCAAAAATCTTCAGAATTTTTCTTGAGAAAGCTTTTGCGCGTTTTGGCCATTAGCCATTAGCGATTTGATAACGGAATACAGTTTAATTCTCACGAATTCCGAAAACTTACAATCAATGCTCCAGTTTATCATCCACGAATGGTTAAGTGCACTCGATGATCATAAGAGCAAAAGTCTATTCAAATGAGCAAATGGAACAACAATACAACCGAAGTTACGATACTGTTAATCGTTTTTTTCTGTCTGGCCAACTTGTATATGCAAGACAACATGAAAAACAGCATAGGAACAAATAAAAATGGTTCATAGAATCATAAGGTTGAAATCGGCAATAAATTCATATGCGACATACTAATCGACAATCGAACAGGCGACCTTTCAATCAAATTTCATTTCTGCAGAAGTGCATTGCAGAAAATCCATGTATATATATTTCAAAATTTACTAAACAGCATTCTAGCAAAGTAGTTTTAATTGCTTTGGGTATTGAAATGCCTCAAATCAGAGGACGTATGAACCAAAGAGCACTTGACCTTTGAAGATCAGATCAGCAGGGATTCGAACACACCGTGCAGAACTGATACGGTTCCTCGAAATCGCAGATAGTAGTTCGCGCGACATTTCTTTAAGTCTCTTTTAAGTGGGATACATTGCAATGCTTGGGTTGTTTATCTGATACAGATAGTATCTCACTTTCTTTTTTAAGATAGAAATAGGTAGTTTTTCCATTTATCTTGAACCGCTCAGCATTATTGCAGATATCTAGATAGGTGAGATATGCCTTTTCGTTAATTTGTTATCTATCACTGCCGCACTTCACCTTATTTCACCACCGTTGATCGTCAGTTTCATAATTTTACTATTGCTATTGTTACAACTGTCGTTCCTAAGGTAAAAATCTTCGATCTCTTTTCTCGAGTTGCTCGACATAATGAATTTCTAAGGAAAAATAAAATCAGTCGATTTTTCTCCTTACTCAGAGTAAATTAATGAGGCAAATCTTTTATTGGCATTTTTGCGGATAAAGAGTAAAATTTTTGTTTACTGTGAAGTCTATGAAAATGAAATTCAATCGAAGTGCATCGCAGAAGACTATGTATAGACTACTAAGACTATATGCTATATAAGACTATATATATAGATCAAATTTCGTTGAAGTTAAACCATCAAGGATTCCTGTCGTTTGACTGGATTTAAATCGTTGGCAGAAGCAAATCTGCCATTAAAATTGGAATCCTGGTGAATTCTCACCTGCACTTCTATCTCCAAATGCCTCTCTGGCAAAGGATGTTAGCCACTGAAGCTAGAAATATTGAATGATTTCAGAGGATTAGGAAGAATAAGGAAGAATTTAAAAAAAATTCGGATATTAGGATTCACGATCCATTTTAGGAACATATATAAGTATTGTTAAAGCGTTACAGCAAATTTCTGTCACAGGATGACGACGATAATTCTTTGGACATTGACAGGTGTATTGACCAGTTCTATCAGGCAAACACTGCTCTCGCTTTCTTTCGTCACAAGAACTGATGGATATAGATGGATCGCAAGTTCCAGGCAACTGACATTTATCACTTCGAGAATCTCGTTCGAATCCCGGTCTGCAAATCAAATTCGTTAAATCCATGAATTTCTGCAAATCCACTAGAAAATACATAATCCACTGGATTCACGCCGAAATTGAAATAACCATGGGAATAAATTTTTCTGAATTCCTCATTATTCTGCCTTACTTTGAATAGCCACAATGGTATTTTGAATAGCTGAAAAGCAATAGGGTTCACTTTATGTAATAATAACGCGGGGCAAAGACCGAATATGCAATTAAAGTTTTCAAGCAACATTTCAGCTTCGTAACCCACAAATACTCATTTTGGAGCTGTTGGCTGGTAGCAGTGAGGATAAGCTAAAGGTGAAAATGCGAAATGGTAGAGAAAACAATTCCTTGCGCTCAATTTTAATTTGTTGTATTTCGATTTATTATTTTATTATTATGTGAAATTTTATTCAAGTTTTAAGTTTTACTGCTCAAATATCTCCTGCGGTATCTCCTTGCTGCTGGTTGTGGCTTTCCTTTATATTCAGTAACAATTATTTTCCGCATAAAGAAACCGAAGAGGTAAAGTCAAAGTTCAATCCAAAATCAGTTTATTGTCAATTCGAAGCCGGCTACATTTCCGTACCGTCATTAATAAGCATTTTAAAAGTAAGAGGATTTTAAGAGAATTCTTGAAATTATAGGTGAAAAAATATACATGCATTGGCAGGTACTCCCAGAGGGGGAGTGAACACACTCTTCATTTTGTCTGCATGGTATCGTACTGCTGCATTCATCAGTAGATGGTGCTGTAATTGGTTCTTCTGCAAAAAGAATGGATAAACATGAAAAAAGTTTAAAATAAAATAATTTTAAAGGTGGGAAACAAAATTTTTACTATTATTAAAATATATATTTTATAAATATATTTTCATAGTTTTATTTGACCATTTAATAAGTAAAATGATTGGCGCTCGCCTTTTCTAGTTATGCTAGCTCTTTTAGCTACAATAAGAAATTTCTGCCAGGATTCGCTCAGCTATACAAGTGCACATCGGCCGGCAACATCATTTGGCCACTTTAACCATTCGACAAAAAAATAACTTGTAAGTGCCTATACTAAGTGTAATAACCAGATGGAAGGAAATAATCCATGTTGTATTTCGAAAAAAATTTGGCAAGTTCACTTTTTTGTCGGTGCTTCATCATTATGCTAATAAATTAATTAAATTATTTAGATAAATTAATTAAATTAAGTTATCTAAGGACATGCAAGGAAAATAGTGACAAAAGCAATTAATTAATTACTTACTACATGCTCCTGTTTTTGGACTTCTTGTTGTATTGTCAACACAAGTACATCTATAGTTACCAAATGGTGTAAGCTGACACCTCTCTGGAAATGGACAAGACGAAACTAACTGCGGATTACATGTGTCACCTCCACACACCTATAATCCACTATATCAAAATTTTAATTATTAATTATTATAATAAGATTATTAATTATAAAAAAATTAATAAATTAAATTAAAAAAATTAAAATTAAAACATTGGCAGTAAGAATACTCACTTGCGTTATAGGATGCTTTTCGAATCCAGGCGGACATCCACATACGAATTTGTTATTCTTGACAATACATACTTGGTTCAGCGATCGATCACATCCGCGATGAGTCGCTGGATCACAAGGACCTTTAAGTAAATAAATTATCATTTTTCATTTCAAAAGCAATGAAAAAACAATGAAAATCTAATAATATTTCTTGTTTTTCATTTTTCATTATTTAAACTTTATATAACTTTTCGGTTTTGGCTAACCTTCTGGTGGAATTGGTGGCTTACCCTCGGGACAAGTTACCTTCTGAATAGCACTTCTCAATCTCGTGTTCAGGTCTTCAAATCCACGAACGTGAAATAAACGCTGCTTCGATCCTTAATAATTTTTATAAATTCTGCTATTTTTTGATCGAATTCCACATCTACTTAACTTGCACAATACGAAAAAAAAGCGTAAGGAAAGAAAACTGAAAAAAATGGAAAATACTGTTAAGATAAAGGAATGTCTTTAAATTAAGCTTGCCGGATATCGCTTCCAGTTCAGAATCAAGAACATGATTAGTCACTCCAACAGCAAATAACTGTATATTTTTCTGGCGTGCTTCATTAGCTGGCACTACAACATTATCTTGGGATCTGCCATCCGTTATTACTATTGCAATACGCGTGATATTGTGCGAAGACGGACGTGCACCACGTCTTTCGTTGAATGCTTCATTTGTTATATAATCAATTGCAGCACCAGTTCGAGTTAAACCGGTTAAATATCTGTAAATAATTCCAATTTCGTTTTGATTAATAATTAAATATCCGAAAATTAAATAAAATTAAAATTAACTGCAATAATTCCCCCGTAGGTTAAATCAATAAAGGTATCAAAATTCTTAATTGAACTATTGATAACTGAAATTTCTGATAAACTTTATACTGGTTCTAAAGCTGTTTAAAAATTTTCCATCAAAAGTTGTTTAAAAAATCTTAAGCATAATCTTAATTATAAAGCAAATGATTACCGTATTCATCATATCTGGTTACATTAGCTCCACTGACTATTAGCATGATGAGAAATTACTGCTAATATGGGGATAAAGATACAGCTGGGTGTTCAATACTATCCTCTTGATAACAGGCTAGTATCATTAGAGAAGGGCGAAAGAACCTCAGTGCTCGAGATGATACTCTAAGCAATTATTAAATATAGCTAAGGCTAAGGCTATGCAACTTTTGCTAACTAACGCTATATCACTGATCTTTTGTTTTATGCTTTCTTTCGTTTGAAACTGATTCAGATTGAATTCATGTCGAATGCGATCGGAATATTGCACCACTGCAACCCTCGTTTGGGTCGGTGATATGTCGAACAGATCGATGAATTCGCTTAAGAACCGTAATACCTGTAATTACTTAAATTATTGTTTTATTTGAATAACGAATAATTAAATATTCAGTGGTGATTCATTTATTTTAAGATATTTTCTAATTTACTTCTCTTTGGAAGACGTCGGATCCAATTGAGCCACTACCATCGACAAGAAACACAAGATCGGTCGGTTGAGCTGGACTAAAGTAAATTTTTTATTAAAACTTTGTTCAACTATTTTTTTCATATCCTACAAGAAACAATTTAAATTTTATGCGTTTTAATTCGAAATTCGATTCAATATGAACTTGTAAACAAAAGAACTACCACTGCGTTTGTAGAGTACAAACTCGTCCAGGTGGTAAGTTGGCGTTACTAGAAACATCAACGTATGAACTGAAACATTTGCATGCGTACCCGTCAGGTAACTGAACGCAGTCTGCATTTTCATCGCAAGTGTTGTCAGCACGATTCGAGCACTGATCACCCACTGAAGTTCTTGCTATTAATTTAACATTTTTGAAATTTTCAGCATATATTTTCATAAAGCATTTTTAAATTCAAGTAGTATATCTATAAAGAAAGCTCAACTTTTTTTTATTTTAGCTCATAATTTATAACGATGGTTTTCATTTGTAATGCGGTGCAGAGTAATAATTACTCCTATTACCTACCGTCTCAAAGCTCAAAATTCTTATTCTATGTCGGATAATAGTAAATATATAGCAGTAAATAACCGAGAACGGTGAATTTAAAAAAGCAATTAAAGAAAAAATCAAGGAAAAAGCACAACCTTTTGAGCATTTCCTACCAGGTTTCAAGCCATATCTTGAAGAAACATCCGTGTATCCATCGTTACATTTACACAAGTATGACTCTTGTGTATCTTCACAAGTCGCAAAAGGCGAGCAATCATCTGTTTTGTCACCACATTCATTTGTGACTGAAAGTCCATGGGATCAATAATACCCGAAATAAATTAAAGCCTATTTGCGAAACTAAACTAAGTACTCATGATTTTTTCATTCGCACTATTATTCACTAGAATAAACTGTCGAAGACGCGGTGTATATATCATTCTCTATTACTATAATAAAAGGAATATATTATCAATAGCGGTACATTATTGCTTGGTCATCATCATAACTCGACTGAAACAATCAATCTACTCTTCATACAGTTATCTCGATATGATTGTTGATCATAAATTTCATGATTAAGGTCGAAACAAATCATGATTCGGTATTCTTTATAGAAACTGACTCGTATAGCTGTAAGGTTAATTATTGGAAATATGAAAATATTTAATTTGCTAACGTTCTTGGCATTTCCGTCCAGGAAATCGCAGAGGATCTGGCGAAATATCGAGATAACCAGGTTTACACTGACACTGGTAACTATCGTAAGTATCCGAGCATATCGCAGAACTATCGCAATCATGATGCTGTTGGCAGCGATTGAATCCTAAAATGCTTGAAACTCACTTTATCTTATCAGATGATAAGCGTAAATGTTGACTAAAGATTTACGAGAAAAAGAGTAAATGATAAAGCGGAAAGTGGAATCAGTATATTAGATCTATCTTGATCGATAAAAGATAAATTGATTGGAGCTACTGCCGTGCAACTCACACAGAGTGCCTTTTGCCTTTGCTAATCATTATTGCGTGGTACTGCTGGGATAGGAATAATTATTTTTGGTTATTATAATTCTTCTGGAAGCTGTGGGTCTTCGTATTATTCTATCGCCGCTATACTACGTCTTCGCCACATAAATTGTGATTTCACTCACAACTCGCATCATCCGAAACAAATATCCATTAGAGATATGCATTATTTCAAATATCACTAAACCAATTAATTCCAGTTCAGCTTGGCATGTAAACTGCGATTTTCATAATATTGCTTATATATGAATATTAAGCAGGAAAATATTGGTAATCAGTTTTTTCTTCGTTTTAATCAGCGAGCAAAATTCTTCGTTCTTTAAAGATGGATTGAATTTACCTCCACAAGAAATATTGGCCTGTGTAGTTGTTTGCAGTGGACAAGGTGTAGTCCTTGGGCATGGTGTTTGCATTGGACACTGTAGCGTCTAAAATACATATCGTTCAAATTTAAATCACTCTTATGGATTTTTTTGTCTGGTTTATGATATTCTGATCCATTATCACTTTCATCCATTATGAATCTATGGATCTTACCAAGCGATTACAAAAATTTGTTCCAATAATTGTTTCGTAAAAATGTTAAAGCTGCATTAAGCATTATTACCTGCTCCATACTTCTATAATCCATGCTTTTAGGCAAAACACATTGTCGACCAGGATAATGTGTAACATTCGGGCTCACGTCAATATAACCATCATGACATTTACATATATAGCTAGAAATTTTTTCTTCTTATACGGATTCTTGAATTTCTATTCATGTTATGGGTGAGATTTACTGTGAATACAATATTCTTTGAGTAAAGCGAAATAAAATATGCTCACAAGTCAGGGCAATTGCTCCAAATCTATCAATGGGAACGGCTCTCTGCATACGCAGTGTTAACCATATCAACATGGAACATTAAAATACTTATGGACGTTCCAAGCCAAGTCACGGTCACTGTCTACACTCTTTCTAAATATCGTGTGGATGTCACTTGTCAGAGATCCGTCTTCTTCACTTCGGATCTCGAGTAATTATTAATTCTGACTCCGACAGTTGACAGTTGTTATATTACTATGGTGTTTCGGATATCGCAGAGCGAAATGATATAGCGATTGCCATCTGAAAAAGTCTATTCCACTTTGACTGAGAAAAAACCTTTAAACGACCGTATGGTCTTTGCTTTAAAGGTAAATTCAATTAGAATATGAGCTCTAATTTTATCTGCAGATGACCGTAATAAAGATAAGTTCTATGCGAGATTACAGTTGCTAACAAAATCTCTATCGAAGTATGTCATCGTCATAATCGCAGGAGACTGGAATACGCGTGTAGATTATGATACCTCTGCGATAAACTCGACAATTGGCAGATATGGCATCGGAAACCGGTGTGCCAATGGGGAACGCTTTCTTCGTTAAGCCGAAGAGGTTAAATTTTTTGTTACTAATACTTGCTTCCAGCATCGTAGAAAACATCTAGCCACGTGGACCTCCCTGGACAACCAATATTACACCCAGATTGATTATATCTTAATCAGTTGCCGTTGGAAGAGTTCTGCTGAAACTGGTAATCTTTATGGATTAGACTATGTTATGGTTCGAGCTAAGATTCGCATAAACTGACAACTCGCAAGAAACATCTCATGATCTTTCAACTACCTCAAAATAAAATCTACAGCAGCTCGGCTGGACAGAAATCGTTGATCTGATATGACCTTGAAAATGGAACTGTATTAAGCGATACTAGAAAAGTATTGCGCCTTCTTCACTAACTATAACTTGTGAAAAATGAAATACTACGTATTAGTGAAATGACGATAATAATAATGTGCTATTAAGGCTATTCAGGACCGACTCATAGGGTGGAAAGAATTTTTTGGGCCAAACTTAACCAAGATGTGCCATCTATTATCCCGAAAATAGCTGAATCGCTGAACCATATGTTGCAACTGCGAACTGCCAACAAAAGAAAAAACTCCATTATCCATACACTTAAGAACAATAAGATTCCGAGAAAAGATGGTCTGAACAGGCTGAACTTTTCAAATGTTATCCATCCTCTTTCATATCGCACCTTCAACTAATGTACTCTTTGGTATTAAAATGAAGTACTAAATGGAGCAAAGCAATTCTGCTTCCAACCTCTAAGAAAGGTGGCAGGATATATTGTAACATACTATAACATATATTGTAACAATGAATCAGCCTTCTAAGGAAAATTTTTCTGCTCCTTCTGCTGAATAAACTTATGACAGTAGAGGCAGGATACACTCTAACTAGATTCAGACCGGTTATGCAGATATTCACGTTAAGAGCATAATATCACAGATCATAAATACGCCGATGATGTAGTCTCTTTGGCTGACAATTACAGCGATATGCAAATGGTGCTAAACAAGGTGTCAAAAAAAGGTGTATGCAGCGAGAATCGGTGTCAAAATCAATGTAAATAAAACGAGTCTTTTTGTGTTATATACAAGGAGCTGATAAAATACCTATCTTTATAAATTCATTGCCGCTTGAGGAAGTGTCTGGTTTCAGTTATCTTTGATCCACTCTAATCTCAAATGGTTAAGCAAAAGATGAAATTACTACCTAGATAACGATAGCTGAAACTGTCCTCTTCCAATCCGTGAAACATTTATGGAACCATAAAAGTGAAAGTCCACGTCTATATAGATTCTCTCGATCTTGCTTTATGCTATGCCTACATGGCCAATGAGAGTGGAGGATAAAGAAATTATCTGTTTCTGATCACTTAAATACATTTAAGTCTAAAATACATTTTCACTCGCATTAACGGTACCATCACAGAGCGTCATTTTCACTGGCTAAGGCATTTTCTTCATCGCATGAGTTGGCACGTATTTCATTATTTGCCGAACTCTGTGATGGTTGGCGTAAAAAAATAAGGTGAGCAAACCACGACCTGGACTCATATAGACTCATATAGAAAAAATTTTGAACGTATAGATGGGCCAGCAATATATGAACTTAGACGATGGAAAAAGGAATGACTTCTATTGCTACTAGCGATGACATCGGACCGAGCAGCTTGGAGGCGTCTTACCCTTGTACCCAGCGAAACCAGCCTAATCAGTAATGCTGTGAACTATTAAAAGAAAAAAAGTAAAAATTAAACGAAGTAAAAAGGTAAGTCGCCATACTCATCAGTTTTGATTAAGCTCGCTCCATTATACTACTAGTAGGATGGGACAATTTTAACAAAGGATCATTTGAGAGTACAGCATGACTTAAATTTTTTGAACAACGGGTATACTCGTTCCAGGTTCGATCCAAGCAATATATATTCGGTGTCATTCTTCATTTTCCCCAGTTTATTTTTTAAAATTTAGTTTAGTTCTTGAAACAAATGGTAAAATTGCTAAAGTTTTGGATAATATCAAAGATTTCTTCCATTAATTATTTTTTTTTTTCATTTTTATATTAATTTTTAGATACAGTATTTTATATTAATTTTCATTTTTTCTCCTAAAGTTGTTCTTAATTGGCAATTTAATTTGATTACCGCTAGAATTATTGAAAGGATGAATTCGATCGGCGGCTGATTCTTTACAATTTCTAATTTAACGATTAGAATTTTAACATAAATTTTCTTATAATGACAATTTATTGAAAAATTTCTGATTTAACAATAAACTAGTTTATTTTCTGTTTAAAAGAAAATAAAAATTAACTGACCCATCCTGTTGATCGACACAATCAGCATAGCTCGAACAATCGTTATCACCATTTATGCATTCGTTAACAATTTCAACACACTTAAAACAATATAAATAATAACAAAATATAACATAATAATCAAAATTTAGAAAATGCGTGGAAAATCGAATTAGTCGGAGTAATTGGTACCGCCTCAAAATTCCACTATAATGCACAAATATTCTTTTGCCTAATATTCCTTGTATAGGTCAAGTTTAGATTTAAATGCCAAAATTTCACCATTTTATGCGTAAAAATACATCATATGGGTGACATACAAATGCATAAAAATTATAAGTACATCACAATTTAAATATCTAAAATGTATATATATATATATATATAAATCATTTGAGTCCTTAAAGATACCAAAAAATTTTAAGAATCGAAGGAGAATTTTTCAGAAAATTTTCATCAATCTATTTTGCATTTTGCACGTTGAAAACTTATTAAATTAAAAAAATAGAAAAATTCAATTTTACGACTTTTTTGGGCAAAAAGTGCGAAAATAATTCGCGATTAGCTTTGAATTTAGGAGTTGAATAACTAACGAAAATATTATGTAAGAGTGAGGTCAAACAGATATCAGAAACTTGGACCAATGTTAACCGTAGGTATAACTGATAAACAAAAAGCTAAGCAAAACACTACACAGATGAGCTAGATTGGTTGTCTAAGTAAATTCTTAGCATTTCTGGTTAGATTAGCTCAGAAATTTTTATTAGGTGGTCATTTGACACAAAAGTACAGACGAGTCTCCTGCGCTACTCAGATTTTTAAATGACAGATTTAATCTTGCAGAGCCCAACCGTTGCCTCTCAAAACGATAATTCTACTCCGTTCTGCTCTTTAAATTTCCTCAAATAAACAAATGTTAAAATATAAATTATAAATGATTAAAATAAACACCCCTGGTCCCCCTTAATAGATGAAACATAATTTGTCTTCAATAAAATAATAAAAACGATATCTAATTCGCCTCATTGGATTTTTACAATAATTGCTTCAAAAATCATCATTGATTTTGATGAATAATATTTGTTCTGGGAATTCCTGTTTCTTTCCATTTTTTTCAAGAAAAATTTTTCATTTACAATTTCATAAAGGCATTTTATTAGTACAAATAGACAAAGGCCTCTGCGCATGGGGAATTTACAGACTCCTTTGAAATATGAACTGATATCCGTCAAGGTCTTTTCCCTCTACAATATTCAACTAGACTGGATAATGGACATCGCTTGTCTGTACTCAAGAGAAAATCAGTCCAGAGTTGAATATACTAATAATGCACTTCTTACTGCTGAGAGTTATGGCGAAATAATACTAAATAATAATATTGAATAACGTGCTGAAAGCTGCAACGAAATCGGGTTCATAATCAATATAAATTTAAATAAAACAAAAGTCTTCTTTTCGTTTTATATACAGGAAGCTGATAAAATGCCTCTTTTTATAAACTCACTGCTGAACTCACTGGGTTGAAGAAAAGCTCGAATATAAATATTCTGGATCCACTCTAATAGCGAATGAAGGGGAGAAAGACGAAATTATGGCAGCTAAGAAAATAAAAAAAAATTTTTCATTTACAATTTCTTTTAAAATCTAAAAATTTATTAAGTAGCAAAAAATGTCGATATTTCTAGTTTAAAATTCCTTAAAATTTATTTGTAACTGCTTCAATACCTTTTGTTTCATCTATCCATGTTTTCTATAACACGTTTCTGGCTAGACATACCACTGGCTGTCAGTATAATAAGATATTTTTGGATTCAAGAGGTATTATCTTGATCCATTTTTGGAAATGGATCAAGATAATAGAAAGCGCAAATGGATTTTTATAAGCACAAGCCGGAATTTTAATGGTAAATTTATTGCTGTCCGAAGTAGAGACTCGTGACGATATTGTAGCTACTCGCCCATAATACACTTATATCGTCTTAATTTAGCAAAGCTTTAGACTCATTAAAATTTTAATAAAACTTTAGGCAAATAAGAATTTCCATGTTTAGAAGAAATATCAGAAGTTAAAATGAAAATGCGATTTTTTATTTCCTCTTTGCAAATGCTATTAAAGAAATTCGCAAATTCGCATAAAAATTTGTTTAAATGAATTGAAACTCGCAAAATTTTCTTTCGAAACATAGAAATCTTTATTAGTGAAGCATAAATAAATAAATTTGAAAACTT